TGGATATGGATTGCATGGAATATGCTGGAGAAACCCCTGGGAACATCACTGTCTACCCCTCATTTCAAAGATGTATATAAATGAGAACCGGATTGCTCAAGGTCAGACAGCTGAAGTCACTAGGCCTAGCATGAGAGCCAGAAGCCAGGGGAGCCTGATCCCTGTGTCCTCTGTGTCCCCTGTGTCTGGCCATGAAGAAAACAGAAAAAAGGCGAGAATTAGCAGAACTGCAATGAGTGATTATTTTTAAAACACAAGACACCACAAGCTTACTCTCTCTCGGCGTCACTCTGTTCTCGGCTGTACTGAGGGCCCGTGCAGACACAAGGGAGCCAGGGAAGCCCTGTGACGAAGATCAGTTTGGACTGGGGGGGTGGGGGGCTGGCCACTCACTTTCTTTCAGTGTAGGATCTCAACTGAGAAATAAGAAGAACTGTCCTCTCAGGAAGAAAACAGGAGTGTGCACACTGGAATTCACACAGCGCTCTCAGAATGTGCTCGAGCTTTTCAGTACAGAAACAGGTGTATCAGAAGGTCTATGCAAACTACTCCTCTGGAGAGAGATACCACCATGGTGTGAGGAATCATTCCCCACAGACAAGGTCTCACCATGCAACCCTGGATAGCCTTCAACTAGTTACGTGGACTGACTGGCCTTGACCTCACAGAGCTGCACCTACCTCTGCCTCCCCAGTGTTGGGGTTAAAGATGCGTGCCAGCACGCTCAGCTTTCAGAAATCTTTAGAAGACTGAGCTAGATAAACAAACAGAACAGCAGACAGATGTTATCAATCTATATCCAGGTTGCTTGCAAGATTGATGGCAGGTATTTGTTTTAAGGTTGCTCCAATCTGTTGGCTGTTTTCAGTAAGTAATTTACAACACATAGCTAGTTGTATGGAGAATTCAAAGTATAGTAAAGTTGGTTACAGTGTTCTCTTAGAGGCAGATTAAATTTAAAACAGTAGGACAGTAGGACACAGTACACAGTAGGACAGCAGATTGAGTGCATAGTCTTAAATGATCTCAAGGGATAATTTTTAGTTTGATGGCAAGGTCTGCTAAAAGCTCAGTCTTTGGGGGTCAAGATCTATTTTGAGAAAAGTGCATCTCTTCAACTCTCACTCTTGTCCTGGGTTTTTTGTAATGGTCAGACATTCGTGTGTTTCTTCAAAAGTTTTTAAAAAATTAGAGAAAATTGATTTTAGTCCAGCGTGGTGGAGCACGTCTTTAATCCCAGCACTCGGGAGGCAGAGGCAGGTGGATCTCTATGAGTTTGAGGCCAGCCTGGTCTACAGACTGAGTCCAGGACAGCCAAGGCTCTTCTTACACAGAGAAACCCTGTCTCAAAAAAACCAAAGAGAGAGAGAGAGAGAGAGCCAGAAAGCCAGAACAAGAGAGTAGGTGCGCAAGAGAGACAGAGACACAGAAAGAGACAGTTTATTTTAAAAAATTACTTTTAAGACTGATGAGTGGCAGGCCTAAGAGCCCAGGGATCCGTTAGGATAAGCTACACCACTTTCCTTCAGGAGGCCCTCTGCTCCCTTATTCGTGCACAGAGAGAAAAGGTTGAGTGAGATCACCTGTTCTAGCCTATAGTCCTCTGAGGAAATGGAAAGGCAAGCAAGGCAGACAGACCTCAGTTAAACACTTGTAGTTGTTTATTTTAAAAGGAGTATCCTTTCTAGTCCTAAGATACACCAAAGGGGGTCTCCATTTTGTCCAAAGATGGCCAAGAAGCCCTTCTGGGCAGAGACATGTACAAGCACTGCATACTCTGATGCACACTCTTGATGGTACTGCAGAGAGCCACTGTAGGCTCTGTCCTCCTAGAACAGCCCCTCATGCTCCTGCATTACCTTTCCTAGCAGACCAGCAAACTTTCGGCACAGAGATTTATCTCACCCCCTTTTACATGGTTATAATAAATTCTATCTTTTCTGTATTTCTAAAGTCTGCTCAAATTTTTATGGTTTTGTATTTTAACGTGACAGGGTTTGCATCGTTTTGGTGTTGAGGGCTGAACCCAGGGCCCTGTGCTCCCTGGGCAAGGGCTCTACCACTGAGCTGTGCCCTCGCCTCACCTGCCGCAGTTTCTCCATACTTAGTACGTCAGCCACGAATGTGAAATTAATGTGATTTTTAACATTAACTGAAAGCAAGTGTGCTATGTATTCTTATTTGATCTTGACTTAGAAATAAAGGGAGTATTCAGGAAGAATGCCAGCTGAATGCTTCATTTTTAGTAAAAATAAGAGTTTATAAAAACTAATTAAAAGATAAGTAGATGAGGATTTAATCTCTTCAACTTCAAGTCCCTTAGCCAGGATCCCTCCTTAGACAGGCTTCATTAAAAACAAGCTGTAAACATCTTCAATAATTAAACATGAATATATGATCCAGGATAAGACCTGGCCCTTAGGCTATACACATTTAAATATGCAAAATTACATGTGTACTTGATCCCCCAATGCATCTGTGTAATTATCTTGTTCCTACATCTCTACCATGGATCATATTAAAAACACTTCTTTCCATGAACTGTGAAATATTAATTGATAAGCCACAGGAAGCTTCTATGATAACCTGTCCTCACCAATTAATAATGCTGTAGGCTCATTTATGAGGACTGAATTATTCATTGGAACCTTTGCATAGAGTCCCTGTGAAGGCTGGAGAGCCACTAACGTGCCTGTGACACTGCTTACTTTAAACTTTACACGAGAGCTCATGGATGAAGTTCAGACCCTGTTCTTCCCACACTCTATGGTAGTCTCTCTGCACTGTGAAGCTCCTCCCTTCCGGACACGTGAATCTTTATCAATACCCTAAGCACTTTGAATTACGCTGTGATGCTGTGAGGCAGGAGTTTGAGGCTCAGAAAATACAGGTCTACTTTTGTCAGTACAGCACCCCTCTCCCCTTCTGCTTCCAGGGACTCAGTCCACTGCAGATCTGAAATATTGGGGAAAAAATTACAATGGAACTGAGCATGTATAGACTTTTTTCTTACTTCCTAACAATACAGCATAGCTGTTTACACATTGTACTAGGTAATTCAGGTATTCTAGAACACAGTTTAAAATACCTTGAAGGTATGTGGGGGTGATATGCAAATACTAACTCCTTTTTCCACAGAGGACTCAAAGGTCCAAGGGCATCTTGAACCGATCCCCACAGACACCGGATGACTGTAGTCTTTTGACAAGGTAATTTGCTTCTTTAGAGTTATTTCTATCAATTCTACATAGAGAGCTTGGTGGGGGGATAAGACTTCTAGCATGAGACAAGGGCAGAGCTAGTATGTGTTGACTAGAAATAATAGGATTTGCAGCATTCAGCTACCATGCTGGCCTCTCATTAATCACGGCTGACTCTTCAGCCCCAGCTGCCCAGAATGTCGGGCTCTTAATTCAAAATAGCAAATGGTCCCACAGAGTCTTTAAATTTCCCTCTGAAACTTCACAAGCCGGTCCTCCATCTTCTGCCACAGCTCTCAACGTCCTTATCTTCCAGGAGCCCAAAGAACATCCCACAGAGCTCCCAACACTCAACGGTTCTTCTAGCCCCAAGTTCCCAAGTCCTTCAACAATCTCCCCCCAGCCCCCCAAAACATGGTCAGGTTGGTTACAGCAGTACCCTGGTATGGAACTGCTATCCTGGTACCAACTTGTCTTAGTTAAGGTTTCTATTGCTGAGACCAAAAGACAAGCTGGGGAGAAAAGAGCTTTTCTTTGGCTCACCCTTCCACATTGCAGTTCATCACGGAAGGAAGTCTGGGTAGGAACTCTCACAAGGCTGGAACCTGAAGGCAGGAGCTGACGCAAAGGCCATGACGGGGTGCTGCTTACTGGCTCGCTCAGCCTGCTTTCTCACAGAACCCAGGACCACCAGCCCAGGGGTGGCACCACTGACAATGGGCTGGGCCCTCCTCCATCAATCACTAATTAACAAAATACCTCAGGAAGCATTTTTCTCAATTGAGGACTCTGGCTTGCGTCAAGTTGACACGGGACCAGGCAGCAGAGATGTATAACTCGCTGTCCTTGCCCTCCCCCCAAGGCCAAGTTTTCATCACTCAGAAAAGCTGCAGTGTATCAGCAGAGCAGCTGTGTGCCGTGAGTTGAGATGGGGGACTGGCCTCACCTCACATGTGCCGAGGAGAAGAGCTGGTGTCTGGTACAAGGCATCCACTTGGGATGCCTTCAAGCAGTTAGCTCCTCTAGGCCGTATTTTTATATCGCTATTCTGTACTTTGCGTTAAAAGTAGAGTTAACCATCGGTTAAAGTGTTCCTCACCAGAAGCCTTATGGCAGATTTTATGTAGCACCATCAGTACCTCACAGTGCGTGTCCTCACTGACTAGCTTCCTGTCATCTTCGGAATCCTGCCTTTCTATTTCACTTTAGGAAGGATGGGGACAGAGTTGGGAGAGCCTGGCTGTAGAGTATTGGTTTCTTCTCTTTAGCAGCTTCTTTCTTCCTTCCATTTTCGCTGCTAAGGGAGCAGACCAGTTAGAACAAGAAACGACGCACAAGTGACTGAAGACTGACTCTCCAATTTAGAACACACAAGTGACTGAAGACTGATGTTAAATCTGAGGACTCTCCAATTTAGAACCTTGGAAGACGCCAGGCAATCCCAGAACCCTCCTCCAAAGCCAAGTTAAGTTCGTATGTAGCCTTCAACTTGAATCTGTGGTGAGAGGTGCACCTGCAGGAGTTCAATGATGCACAGGGGTGCCTGGCCTTTTCGCCTGGCCTAACAGGAGCTGGCTTACACCCGCACAGAGACTGAGCTCTAAGAGGACTAGCTACGTCACCTGAGGAAAGGGGAAAGAGGAAAGAGGAGGCAGGCAGAGTGTCGCTCTGGAAATTTGGTTCAAGTTTGGTTCTGTGTAAGAGGAGCTATGGAACCAGGAGCAGTCAGTGTCACAGGCCCATCACAGTGAGTTTTATGACCTAGCGAAAGACAGGTCCAAGAGCCATGCAATGAATGTGTTTTCTTTTTAAATCCATTATTTATAGAAAGAAATAGGAATTGGCAAAATTCTGTCCAATCAAATACAATGACTTCATTTATAGTACAATTTAAGTTAAAACACAAGGGTACAATTCAGAAATCACACACAAATCTGAAACCTTCAATGCTATACACCGTTCTTTTCACATGGGAATCATTTAAACACAATCTAACCTGGTAGGTGACAGTGGGAGCTGGACTTGACGCTTGTGCCACCACACGGTGTGGAAGGCACGCAGGCCTCATGTGGCTCTCCTTTCGTTAACAAAGTGCTACATGGTAACGGAATTACACTCTTCACCCAACAGTTAGTGCAACCCCATCAGGCATTTATATCACCTTGCTGCTGTGACTGACGCTGTATGTACAGAAACAAGGGTGCGGGAGGCAGGGCCTGTCCCCAAAGACAGAGAAAGGCTTCCGATCCGATTAAAAATAAGGAGTCATATAAGAAATGGCTTTAGTAGAAAAACACATAGTGTCGGTAGCTAACTTCTACCACTGGTATACAGCACGGCTACTTTGTAATTAAAATCTGATACAGGGTTCCAACATAGAAGTTAGTGGTGGCCCTCCTGTCCTTCTGCCATGAGCCTGGAAGGGCTCATCTTCGTTGCTTCTTCCCAGAATGCAGCTCATCGGTAGGCAAGCACTGGTACAATGAACGCAGGGGTTACTCACGTGGGTGGTGCATCCCAGGATGCCACACTGCCACCCCAGGGTCCAGCACGGGGGCCGCCAGCACACGTGTGCTATTCAAATCCCTGTGACACTCAAGTCCTGTGTTACTATTACCTAGTAGTCATTAAATTAATGTGAGACTCTGTAACTTAACAAAACCTCTGAAAGACGTTTCTTTCTTTGCCTTTTCTTCCACTGAATGTGCAATTCCAAGCGAATGTGCAGTACTGGTGTCCGGTCCCTTTAGAGTCCTGCAAGTCTGTGGATTTAAACGGAGACGACCACATCAAGGTAGAGTCTGTCGTAGGATTCCCTGAAGCACAGAATGAGGAGAAGACTGAGCAGGCACGACCCGGGAAGGCACCAGTTGAACCAAGACAACTCTGTAAGACAGAGAAATTAAGTCAAATACAGCAGTTTTAAGCATTTTTTTTTTCAGCACCCAGCAAAGAAAGCATCGCCTGCATACCCTGAGGTGTCTGCTCTGCTTCCCGAAGCAGGCATGAGAGAGGCACCCTGGAAGCCGCTTCACACTGACAGTCTGGAGGCCAAGTGATGTGTGTGGTATGTTACTGGACCTATTTAATCCACATTGTTAATAACGTTTCATCAATTTGATACACCTTGACTTTGGTTGCAAACTCAACCTAATGGTTCAAACGGAAAAACGGATCACCTCAAGTGTTAGCTTATTGTTTCTTAAGTGCCCTCTATCACCGTCGCTCTGGGCTCTGTTTAGAAATATCAGGTGGGTTTAGGGAGGAAAATCATATTTTATTTTATTTTATTTGCATGTATACACACACATGCACACATACTCAACGATGTATGCATGTTAAATGCAGGTGTGCACGCGGCCGGAGGCCGGAGAAGGGTGTCAGTTCCCAGCTGGCCTGGTGGTCGGCAAACCTCGGCCACCCTCCTGTCTCTGTCCCCAACAGTCTGGAGTGACCAGGCCCCGCTTGTCACACAGGTGTGGGGACTTGCAGTCAGGTCCTCAAGTTTGCACAGCAACCCACGGAGCAATCTCCCCTCCTCCTCCTCAATTGACTTTCAAGAGAATGTTTTCATGTTTTGATGGAAACATGAACTTCTCAACAAAAATATTTTTTTTTTAATAGTAACCATTGCAAAACAAGTTGTGGGGAAATAAGGTGAAACATTAAAGAATTAATCATTTCTACTCCTAGAGGGACCAGTGTATTTGCATTTATCTTTTCTTTTTTTATCTTTTATATTCTTTTTTTATATTCTATTCATCTTTTTCCCCCCTCCTACCATGAATAGTCATGGATTATGCCAATCACTGAGAAACCTGCAAAAGTCATCCAAGCAGGCTGTTATCTGATTTAATGCCATCAAGAATCAGTTTCAAAAGTGTTCTCATGAACTAGGAGTAACAGGACATTCCTGGCCACCTGCTGTCTCTCAGCTGTGACTGCCCCTGGCTGTTGCTTGGAGCTCAGGGATCTGCATCTGGCCAGCCTCCTTCTGGCCCAACCCCAGCCATCCATTGATCCCCAGGCTTGGGAGCAAGCAGTATCTTGGCATAAAGAACTTGTCCACAGATCCCAACACATCTCAACCTCCAGGAATCATCCTGCAATCCCTGCACCACTGCTATAGTTTAACCCACAGCTCACAGAGCCTAAGAAAGCTGGACAGCGCCAGCAAACTGACCAGTATAGCAGGCGCTGCGGTGACTTCCATACTGTGCTCATGAAGAGCTTCCTCATCACCCAGCAGCAGCAGTTAAAGTGGGACCCCACAGCGCCGCCGCCACTTTCTGCCAAGCCGTTTTCCGCGATGTACCTGGAGAAGCTCTGGCCCCTACCATCCCGCCTTCACTCCCACAATCCCTCAAAGGACGCTCAGGCATTTTCTGCTTTTACGTTAAACACAAGGCCCGGATTTCCCATAATTTTTACTAGGCAGGACGAAGCAGTTAGGAAGGACCGTACTACGACTGAGCACCCTGACCCCACAGCCGTAAGCACTGGATGAAAGGAAGCAGGTGCCTGCCACTGTGGTTCGAAACTGCTCCTTCTAAGTCACAGAGACTTTTAAATAACAGGAAGCTAAAGGGATACACGTGCCATGACTGATTTATTCTTGGCTCCCCTTCCGGCAGGAGGTTTGTCCAATGTTGCCAAAAGCTGAACATTTCTTTCAATAGAGGATGAAATTGTTGCTTCTGTCTAGGCTGAGATGTTTGTTCGTTACTGTGTCTCTCTGAAAAGTCAAATCCACTTTTAGGAATTTCACTTGGCTCAAAAAACAGCAAGTGTTCTTTACAATCACTTCCCTTTTCAGGAAGCAAAAAGGTCAGAGACAGGGGAGTACCTGCCTCTCCCTGATGAAGACTGTTCATGGAAACCACAGCTGGGGGGAGGGGTGCTCACTTAAACACTTAATCTGGCTACGTTGCAAAGCCAGCAAACCACTGACTTTTTGAGCTCAGTGTCACAGAACATAACTGAATGTTACCTGATCCACGGAAATGTTTGCATTCTTAACTCTTTTTATCTGTTTGGCTGCAAACCTTCCCATTGCTTCTCGCTGGAGAAAGCAGAAATCCGTGCTGGGAGACAGGACTACCCAGCCACCCCTGCATGAGCTTCTTGCCAGCGTCTACCACACTGCAGCCTCATCTTCAGTGCCAATCTACAGCTCAAGCGCCACATTCCACTCTGCATGAGCTCTGTGCAGCTCCTCTGCACTGGCCATCTGCACCTCGCCGACATGCACAGCTCCTCTGCGCTGTTTGTCCATTCTCTCTCCGAATCCCAGAAGCTGCTAGCCTCTTCCCTCCTCAGTGTCCCACGCTTACAGTTTGATCACCTACAAGCCCCATTCCCAGAACCCCCAGAGCTAACTGGTACTTGACAAAGCTGTCTCCATTCTCCCAGTGAGCAGCCGGCAGACTCCCCAGATCCTGTCGACAGCCTGTTCCCCGCACTCCACAGGACTTGTCTATAGACCTTACACCACAGCACTTTGCTTCTTAGGGTGGCATTGCCGGTCCACATCCGCTGAGCCTCCCCTTTGCTCTCCCAGCAACCACTGGCGATGCTGCCCACCTCAGCCAGGTCCCTGGATCTTTTGAGTGACACTACAGCCTCAAGTTCAGTCAGCCACTTGAAAAAATCTTAATACGCTTGGACAAACTTGCTGCTGAGCTTAGACACAAAGCAGCTGATAAGACAAACTTCAGAATATAAACCAGATTGCGCTTCAGGGATACACAGAGGACAGCAGTGTCCCCCGATTCTGTTATGTGACGTTGTTAGAACAAGGCATCACTGCACAGTCACAACTTGGGGTCCTAAGCAAACATTCCTCTACGGCAGGGAGCAAGCAACTTTCTTTCTAGAAAGTGGCCTTGAAAACCTCACGTCGGAAAAATGCTAAAAAATTTCTGATATGGTTTCATGTGACAAGGCATGCCTGAAAGGCCCCGGGGCCCAGAGCTTCACTTAGTCCGTGGCCTGGATCTGGAAGCAAGCACAGGTGGAACCCACCCTTAGGCCAGGCATTCTGAGCTGATGGGCTCCTGTGGGGTGGAGTTGCGCATCCTTGAAAAATTATCCCAGGCAGCCGCCAGACAGCTCAGCGTGGGCGGGAAAGAACTTTGTCAAGGAAGCGAAGTACTTCCTCAAGGAGTGCTAAAAATCACAGTTCTTTACAACGATGAAAACCCAGGCTTCAGCCAGATATGGGGACGAATGCCTGTCGCTGGCGGTCCTCGGGAGGGTTAAGCAGGAGGGTGGCCAGGGCTCTGGGGTCTGAGACAAGTCTGGGCAATACAGCGAGATGGTATCCCTTAAAACCAAAATGAATGAATGAATGAAACCTAGGCTTTCTTAAAAACCAATAAACTCAGGACTGAATAACAGTGTGAGAATAGTTGACCCGTCACAGATTTTTCATGTCAAAGTTACTGAATTATGAGCCAGGCATGGTGGCAGTACACGCCTTTAATCCTAGCACTCGGGGAGGCAGAGGCAGGTGAATCTCTGTGAGTTCGAGGCCAGCCTGGTCTACAGAGTGAGTTCAGGACAGCCAAGGCTACACAGAGAAACCCTGTCTCAAACAAACAAAACACAACACAACAAAAATACAAAAAAATTACTGATTTATGCCATTCCCATATGCTTTATTGAAGATCATCAAGTCAGCTATACAAAATGTTTAGGACACTGAGCTGCAGCATTAGGAGTGATTTGAGGAAGTCATTTTATAACATTTTTAGATTGTCAGCTTTTCCTTAAGTGTGTGCTCTGTGGCAGGATTTGTAGGCAGCAGCAACTAACTGTGTGAGAGGGGATTTCAATGAGGGTCACGCTGCTAGGTAACCGGTGCCCATCGTCTTCACATACTCAAAGGGCTTACTATTCTACAACAGAAGCCTGCTCAGCTACACTGTAGCATCAATGAATCAATTACCAAGAAGGAACAGAATTCCAGCTGTGTGCTCTCATGCCTTCCCCCACATCTGTACCCACATGCTAGCATTTACTCAAAGTTTTCTGTCTGGAAACCATCTTGGTGGATTAAGATTAATTATTACTGCAAGTTTCACTTGTTCACAGCAGCCAAGAGGTTAGGCAGAAACCCTGTACCAGCTGTTCAGATGTGTGTTAAGAACACAGGATGGGAAAGCCACTAAGGAGAGGATGGTGTTCTCCCCGAGGCCAGATAAATTCCTGGTTGTCTCACCAGGGCAGGGGTTAGCAGAAACAGTGCTTGATGCTTTTCTGGTCACTGAATCTTCGGCATGGAGAGTTCCACCTAAGTCATGTCAGGTGTCAATGTCTGCTGGATCTAAAAAAGCTGCTGTAGCAAGCTGCGTGGTGGTGATGTGTGCCTTTAATCCCAGCACTTGGGAGACAGAGGCAAGGGCAGAGGCAGGAAGAGCTCTGAGTTTGAGGTCAGCCTGATCTATAGTCAGTTCCAGGACAGCCAGGGCTATAGAGAAAAACTCTGTCTCAAAAAACCAACCAACCAACCAACCAACCAACCAACCAACCAACCAACCAACCAACCAACCGGCCAGCCATCCAGCCATCCAGCCAACCAGCCAACCAGCCAGCCAGCCAGCCAGCCAGCCAGCCAGCCAGCCAACCAACCAACTAGCCAGCCAACAAATCCCCATAAAGCTGCTGCTGGACCTAGAAGAGTGATGAGGAGCAAACACACAGCGCTCTTCTGCATATGACAGTGCTAAGGGATGAAAACATGGACTGAGTCTTCAGGGGCCATGTGTGGGATACAACCACAGTGTTTGCTGCCTCTGAGAGTTGGGGTGTAGTGGGAAGTTATGACTGCCCCTCCTTTGTCTTGGTCCTGCCATTTTGCCCTGTGATCTCCCTCACCATGCCACATTAGCTCATCAGAGCTGATTCTTAAGCATGTACCGAATCTCTAAAATAAAGTAAAAGAAAACTTTTCTCAACAAAGTACCTAGCCTCCAGGAGTAATGAAAACGGAGTAAAAGAAGTAGCTTTTAGACTGGATGCTGTTATTGGTGCCTTCCCTGCTTTACACTGATCAATAGTGTTATACACTAGAGACCAAGGAAAGAGATTCACTGGGGGATAAGATTATCTGACATCAACGGCTGTTTTTAAATACCATAAGGGGGGGGGGGGGAACTATTTGTAGTTGACAGGAAAAACCATGTTCTGCTAGGCTGCATGGACCACTTAGTAAATGTGGGCCCGTCAGCTGGAAAATTGTTTCTGTCCTGCCAGGGGCACACGCTAGCTCTGATGCTATGCTGTACAAAGAGGCGACAGCCCCTTAATTTCCACTTTGGCACGACTGCGGTGAATTAAAGGTGTAACACAGCAGATGCAAGGCTCTGTGTTGAAGGCAAATGTCCTTTCTCTAACAGGTGGTGCTTTCCATACTGGAAACAGACAAGAAGAGGCAATGACAACAGCGTACCTCCCCCTGACCGAAAACTAAGCCCACACCAGGTGTAGCAGAGCTAAGACTCTTCTCTGCAGCACTGACAGGGGCCGTCTAGTTTGTTGTTAATCATATTACGAGGATCATTATCATTTGGATACAATGTGCAGTTAGAAGTTCATGTTGTCATGATTTTGCTTCATTGCTTTGAATGTTTTAAAAATGTATTTTCCGGCCAAGGAGGTTAACACAGTTACTACTTCAATTACAGGCTTGTCAGAAGTTCCCTGAAAGCAGTGTGGCCTCCTGGAGTAGTTTCAGAGAACAGCTCGGCCTATTGACTTACTCTTATTTATCCCCCAGGCTTTAAATTGATACAACCCCGACACTAATTTACACCCTGTGCTCAGAGAGAACAGTCTACATGCATTTTAAAGTAATATCACCAGGGACTTTCAATGCACACTCAGCTCACCTGGCCAAGAGGTGGGCTGTGAAGACACCGGTGAGAACAACAATCCTGCCAGCCCAGGGAAATTCAAACAGTCTAGCGCCTGTGGGCACACTTTAAGAAAAACTGTGGCTACTGCTTCACTGGTATGTGAATGCTTAGATTAGTAATATGTTTGAGTGAGAATTCTCTACATAGGACCCTTATCCATCAGTTCCACAAACCTGCCTCATAACACATTTAGATAGCAAATAAAAAAAAAAAAAATCAAATTCTTACCTGTATGGTAAAATGTGACAAAAAATAAAAGCACTCCCATGAACATATTACTTAAAAAAGTGACAACTCCACAAGTAATTCCTTCAGGAACAGGGTAGACAGTTTCCACAAAGAGCTCAAAAAATATAGGAACGCTGCTGTTCAAGAACACTCCCAGGAGGATGCAGGAGGCGTACAGTGTCACTGAAATAAAAACACAAATACTTCAGTTCACAGAAAGCAGCGGCGATGGGCAGGGCAGGCGGGTGTCTGGGGTTTCCTGAGCAGCGGCTGTGGAGCTGCACCTCCTCCCCACGGTGGCTGATGAAGTCTGACAGAACATCACACAGCTGTCATCTCCTCGCTCGGGTTTTCTGCAGTAAGAACAGGTTTTGTTGCTGAATGATTACCAGTTTATTTGCGTTCTCTTTCTGGTGGATTATCCCCGAATCACCAAAGCAATTTAGCATTAGAATCGAATTAAAAACATTCTGGGCCAGTATGATGGCTCAGTGGGCGCAACCACCACCGCGCCTGACGACCTGAGTTCAATTCCCAGGACCCACATGGTGGGAGGGGAGAACAGACTCCCGCAAGCCAATCTCTGGCCTCCATCTGTGTGGTGTGGCCCATGCCCTACACAATAAATAAAGGCAACGAAAATAGTAAAGCTTCTGATGAAGAGATTCATAAAAAGGCAAACGAGGCGAGGGAACAAAACCACAGCAAGTTGATCAAACAAATCTTGTCTCATTTTACAATTTTAAAGAGGACTTAAACTTTGTAAGGCACATGAGATGCTACTGAAAGCTACATAGGCAGAGCCTGATTCCCAGTGGCTTCCAAGTGCTGTAGGAGGCACCCAGCATCCTTCCAGGGAACACAGGAGGACCAGTCCTCAGTCGGAAGGAGTCCTGTGTCAATGCCTTTTTATGTGTTTCCACCGCAAACACATACACTAATATTACGCTGAGCCAGCCCTGGTGAGGCCTGCCTCTCTCATCGCGGCGCTGCGGTGGCTGAGGCATGGGGACTGCAGGTTAGAGGTCAGTCTGGGCTACCCAGACGCTCTCTCAAAAATCAATAAGTACAAATGAAAAGGCGAGGAGGGCGGGAGGAGCACAGTTTAACAGGTCAGCCCACTAATGTTACTGTGTAGTGAAATGTTAGAAAAGGGTGCGCTCTGACCACATACAGGACAGAACGCCACTCTAAGGTCACCACAGTTCCTGTCTGCCTGCATACACACACACGTACACACACACACACACACACACAATGTTTTCACTACTTCAATCTGAAGGTGAAACAGGGCCAGCGGAAGAGAGCTATGATATGTACTAATATTTTAATAAAAACATCCACTGCCAGTAATGCGTAGAATGTATTATGAAGTTACAAGAAAAATGCTTTTGCTCTAAATGTTTAAGGAAAAATTGTACGGAAGCTGCAGAAGGAGAGGGCATTAAGCCGAATCTCTTACCCATCATTCGTGGAGTCTGGCATTTCAAAGCACCAGAGCTTACATAGCTGACCCCAATTGTTAAGTGTCTACCACAGAGTGGGAGGGCAGCAGGTCCCCCGGTTTCTAACAGAGATTCTCTGACTGACCTCACTGCTGCATTCCCCCACCACTTCGGCTCGCTTTCCGGGATTATAAAATATTTAGTATCTTCTAATATTGGAAATAGCTGGTAATTACTCTGGCTTCCCCTTATTTCTGTGACAGAGTTACTTATGAAGCTAGAGAGCAACAACAAAAAAAATCACTCGGAGCCTAGCCCTCCCACTGGGCAACACCGGCCCCTTACCGCCACCCAAGCAGCCGAGTTACCCATTACAACACTGAATAGTGCTCAAGAGACTCTCTTTCAACTGTATGCCCTGCCATCGCTGTGGCATGTGTACGGTGTGCTTTGTGTGGGGTGAGTGCCACGGAGCTCATGCAGAGGGCAGAGGACTACTTTTTCGGAGCTGGTTCTTTTCTCCCACCTTAATATGGATTCCGGGTTGTGTGGCTTGCACGGCAAACTGAGCCATCCTGCTGCCCTTAAGACTTATTTTTCCCCAATGAGTGTGGTATGTGTGTGTGTGTGTGTGTGTGCATGTGAGTTCACATGCCCAGGATGCCAGAGGTACTGAATTCCCCTAGAGCTGGAGTTCTGGGTGCTGCAAACTCAGCTCAGCTCCTCTGCAGGAGCAGTCTGCACTCCTAACCACTGAGCCACCTCTCCAGCCCCCCCCCACACACACCTAAGAGATCTGTAAAACTAAAGCACAGCCTAGCACTCTGCGTTCACTATCTGTTGGCTCACACATGACTCATGTGGTTCACTGGGGATGGAAGCGTGCTGGTAGCTTTGGTAGCGTATTCTGTTTCCAGTGTATAATCATTTATTGATTGGTCAGTGGTAATCAGGGTAGAAAGGACTACTGATCCAAGAACACGTCAGCTAGGAGTTAAAAAAAAAAAAGTACTAAAAAAAAAAAAAAAAAAACAACAAGAAAAATTCCAGCTCGTAGGGAACAGCAGGTACTACTACTTAACCCAGGATCACAAACTGATGGAGTCAGATGATTTTAGGAAACACGGTTAGAAATAATCTTCCTGTTTCAACATTCTGGCTCCTGTCTGTAACCCAGCGCTCGGGAGGTGGAGCCAGAAGATTTGAGTTCAAAGCCCACCTGGACTCCATGGAGGGTCTCCAGACAGTTTGGGCTATGGTGAGACCTTGTCTCAAAACAAAACAAATCAAACTGTAACAAAAACAAAGAACAACAACAACAACAAAAATCTACATTTATATTTTTGAAGGGGCTTTATCCCTACATGAAATTATAGTCAGGTAAATTAAATGTAAGGATTGGAATAATCAATGTAAGAACTGACATGGCAAATGAAATATGAGAAGTATAAACTGGAAGGGTATAGGGGTCTTGAGAGTTTAGAGTCTACTGAGCTTTATCAAGCCTGGTACACATACAGACCTGGGAGTCACCTCAAGAGCATTGTTCGGAGATGTCGTGGCTTGTTAGAGAACCCTCAAGGCCACGAAGCTCTTTTGGTCCATGCTCACAAGGACCCTTTAAAAAACTGTCACCAGAAAGGCAGAAACTATTGTGGTTAAACCTGGCTGATGACCCGTAACTAGTTCATCTTCTGGTGGGCGACTGGGAAACATCTCCGTAGATCCATGTGCCGACTCTGATTCGGTGGTTCACTTCCGGGATGTTATGCTCTGTCTGTGTGGGCCCAGACATGTGGGACAATCACAGAGATGCTGTTTGTGGTATACAAAGAGTGAAGACAAGCTAAATGGGACTGGAAAAATGCTTGGAGAATAAGAGCCAGGACAGTCCTTGCAGGGGATCCAGGGTGTTATCAGCACTCACACTGGTGGTTTCAGCGCCAAACATCAGATGCCCCTGCTGGACACCTCAGGCACCTGCACTCACACTAGCACAAACCTACAACCATATACACATATACAAGGGAACTTATATATGTAAATATTGCTAGATACATGCATGTGAAACTGCTGAAAAGACTTATACATTGAAAAAAAGACACACACATACACACACACAAGACTTCTCTGCAACACAGAAGAAACTGGGATAGGGCTGTCTCTCGAAAGAGAGCTGGAAGCACAGCAGAATGGAAATGAGCTGCTATACTTTCTTTTTCTACTATTTAAATTTTAGGGTTTTTGTTCTGTTCGTTTGTTTTACTATGTTATTTCTTACCTAGTTAACGAAAAGGAAATTTCATTACAATTTCATTACAGCTGACTAGGCTCCACTTCCTGGAGTCTGCTGGCTCTATGACTAGAAGCCACCAGCATTGCCTGAGCTGTGTCTCAGGCAGGCTGTGATGCCCACCCAGCCACAGGCCAGGATCCTTAGTGACATGGTGCCACTTCACTAACCAGAAACTCTGTAGCATGCAGGGCAGATGGGCTATGATACTGGGCTAAGCTGTGTGTAGAATAAACAGACGATGTCACTTCAAGGGCCACTGGAGAAAAAGCTGCTGTCTCAGTCTCAATGTTGTTTCTTTTTAAAATTATTTTTATGTATGTGGGAGTACACGTGTGTGTGTGTATATGTGAGTGTGTGTGCACATGTGAGTGTGGACGCCTGGGGAGGAGGGTAGAAAAGGCTGCTGGGTCCCCTGGAGCTGGAGTTAGTTACAGGTGGCTGTGAGATGCCCCGAGTGGGCACTGGGAACGGAACTCTGGGGTCTTATGCAAGAGAGGCAGGGGCTCTGAACTGCTGAGCCATCTCTCCAGTCTCAGTATTTGTTTCTTTCATTACTATAAAAATGACTAGGGCTTAAAAACAAACAAACAAACACACACACACACACACACACACACAGACACACAACTGGATATGCTAAAATTACTCTCTACTGCAGAAACGAAAGAATCAAATAACGTACACAGGGTAGAGGTAGTGAATGTCTACCTAATCAGAACGAGGGAAAGACAGCTGTGAGCACGTTGATTTGATACATTCATTCCTGCCTGTTCTGGGGCATGCAGAACCTACAGGCTGACTGTTAAAAGTCTGAATTTGATTTCTACTTGAATTTTCAGTTCAGCCTTGATATATTCAGTGGGTGAGTGTCATCTATTCAGAGTCAAGCAGACAAGATAATTTCCTACTCATCACAGAGGAATCAAACTACACAATCATTAAATATTTCCATGACTTTTTATAATGGTGAAACTAAAATGATAATAAATTGCCTTTCAATTAAAACGTCAAGGTAATTTAGCAGAACAAACACAAATGAAGCGCTGATGCGGAATTTTTTTCAAAAATGCTAATAAGATTTCATGGGTCTGCAGTTTAAGCTTAAAAAAAATCCTGTATAATACAAAGTAGAGTTAAAATGGATGTATATTAGGCACATACATTAGATCATAGCCCTGGAAGTTTTCATTCCCGTGACAAACCAAATAGCTAAACTTCAGAGGGAGAAAACTACGTCTGAATACTTTCTCATTAACTAAAATACATAAACCCTTAAGTCAGGGCTCTCAGCCTTCCTAATGCTGCGACCCTTTAATATAGTTCCTTATGCTGTGGTGACGCCCAGCCATAGAATTATTTTCAATGCCACTTCATAACTGTAATCTTGCTAATGATATGAATCATACTGCAAGTATCTGTGTTTTCCTATGGACTTAGGTGCC